GGACAGCGGTCCTGCTTCAGGTGGGACAGCGGTCCTGCTTCAGGTCGGACAGCGGTCCTGCTTCACAGTAAGAGGACGATGCTGCAGCTCCATCGTCTGCAGACAAGGCAGCGAGCTGAGGTTTCTGTCGGGCTCCTAAGGACGAGCCTTAAAACGAGGCTAATTAACAGCTGATCCTGACCGCAGCCTAAATTACAACTGTGTTTGAAGACGAGCGAGAGGAAGAACAGAGAACCACTTCCTGATTCAGTTTTCTCTGGTTTTTCTTTTACAGACGCTTCTTCATCACATTTTGCTCATGGACGGACATGAAGCAGCAGGAAAGTTTTCTGTAAGGGTCTACTTATTATTAGTGTTAGTATTTATAGTGCGTTTTCTTTTGTGCGTCACTGAAAACGTGACAACTTCAAGGTTGTCGGGCCAAACGACTGAAAGAACTAAATCCAGCAGATCGTCGTCACTTCCTGATGGTGGAGGGAACTATTTTTAGACATTTGCTTGAATCCAGCTTGTCTCCCTGAAGCAGAAGGCACGTGTGTCTGGTCTTTGACACGTTGTGATGCATTTTCACTACGTGGGTTTGATTTTAAAACAAACTGAAGACGGAGAACAACAAAGCTGCAGTCACAAAATAACTTCAGAAGACACGAAGCTAAATTTAGAGTCCTACATTTTGACAAGAACACGAGTTGTTTTGTGCAACTTTAGATTGAATCCAGGATGACAGGCGGCACTGGTTTCAGAAGATCCGTTTGCTCTTCAGGTCAGGATGAGGGTGGATGTGAGAAACTCGGTCCGAGCAGGAAAACAAGCTCCCGTGTCGTGAAATGCAGAGCCTGTGCAGCCAAGCTGAGCGCTGTAAGTCAACCGAAGGAACGATGACTCCAAGACAAATGAGCGTTAGTGAGTTAAAGTGAAAAAGCTCCAAAGTAAACCAGTGATACAGAAATGAGATCGTTGGAGAGTTGAATAAAAAGCTGTCATTCGATCAAAAAGTCCTTGGACTGATTCTCTGAGGCTTAGCTGAAAATTTCATTTGGTTGATTTTCAAAAAAGAAGAGTCAAAGCCAAGAATAAAAGCTGATTAAATTGTGACCCCCCCCCCCCCCCAAACACCAAACACACACCCCAAAACTCCTTTTGTGTCACACAGCCAGCCCAAACGACCCCAGAAGAGCAGAGAGAGCAAAGCGTACCCGACGAGGAGTCGGAGGATTTTAGAGCAAAAGACCAACCATCAGGGGTCATAGACGCACAGTGAGGCAAGCGGAGCTCCACGGGTTTCAAAAACTTGAGGCCGTGAGGTCCACACATGACCAGAGGGCTGAGCAACGTCTCTCCTGCAAACACAAGACAACATGAGGTCAGTCAGCAGCACATCTGCACCTTCCGTCCTGTCACTTGTACCAAAGATCAAAGTTCTGGTCTGTAGAGGACGACGTGCAGGTTCAAACAAAACAAAGAAGAAACGACTTTGATTTTTGTTTTGAGATCAAACAACAAAAAGTGTAAATGATGGAGCCGACATGTTGAAAGAGCAGAAACAGATCCAGCTCGTCTGAACACAACACACGACCAACAGACAGAAGGAAGAACAAAGAGGTGCTCATCCTCCCATCTCAGACCCTCTTCAAGTTGTTACTGATTAAAAATTAACTCGTGCTGATCGGACGAGTCTGACTGGATAAAAAGGAGCCTCTAAAGGTTTGTACATTTTATGAAGTACATAAACAAATTTATTTTAAAACTTGTGAATCCTCATCAATTATCGTTTTATTCCCAGAAGCAACATCATCAAAATTATTTTCTACTTCCTGGCTCATAAGAACGATGTGTTTTGATCACCACTGCATGTAAAGGTACAGTAAATACTCAGATAACTTGAACTTTACGCAGAGCGGCAGATAAAATCAGTGCTCGGTGTCTTGCAAGGATAAAGTGAAGTGCAGCAGAGTTAGAACATGGCGTCCTCCATCTGTGACGAGTTACCTTTCTCCTTGTCGAGCGGCGGCAGGATGCTGTTGTCTCGGCACACCTTGAAGTAAATCTCCTGCTCCACTCCTTCAGGGATGGCCCCCTGCGGGATAATGATGCTCACACCCGTCTCGATGGAGCTCAGAACGCCGCCGTTGGAGTTGAAGATTCCACGAGCTGTTGCCACCACAGTGTGACCCTCGTCTTCATCATCGTCGTCTTCCAGGGCACTGGGGCTGGAGACGGATACATTCGCTGTGATTGGCTTTGAAGATTAGCTTGGGTTCAATCTGGACTCGGTGTGTCCGTTACCTCACAGGGATGGCCTTGGGCACAGCGTTGACGTTGTTCTGCTGGGGTTTCGAGCGATCATCCACAGTGCGCGTGAAAGTGTCCACGCCGCTGTCGTGGTCCGTGTTCTGAGGCTTCACTGGACTGGAGCTGTGGGTCTGAACCACATGCAGGAGAGTTTAATCCACATGTGGCCTTTTATGGGTGTGGACGCACGACTCGGATCAACTTCAGGTCAAATAAACAAAAATACTTTAACAACTAACTTCAACCAGTGGAGCTGCAACATGAAGCCGACTGAAGAAACAAGATGTTTGTACAACCAGGCCAAAACCTGTGCAACTAAGAAGTCATCAAAAACAAGAACTGCTGCAGCGCATCTTCTGAAGTCGGTATCTCAGCCGGACTGGCTGCTGATCCAGAACTGTAATGAAATGTGCAGAGCAACATCTGGTCGTTTTCAACACGACCGCGTGTTGAGCACCAGGTCAGAATCGCTGCACGTGGCTCGCAAAACTGTATTCTAGGCTGTCCACACGATTTAGTTGCTCACAAGCACCATTTTATTTTTTATCATCAGCACCTTGAGGTGTGCAGCTCCTCCGTCATAGGACAGGTGCAGGTGTCAAAATACAGCTCAAACTAAACAGAGATGGACTCGAGACGGTTCTGAGACGCCCACGAGATCTTTGCAACTGACAAAAGTGTTGCATAAAGTTTTTGAACATGTTTAAAATGAGCAAGAACGTCAAGACCAAACGTTTCAAGGCATTTTGGAGACGCCCTTGTTGCTCAGTTCAGCCACTAGCAGCCGAGTCGCAGCTCATCCAGACTCGACCTGCAGGTGCACGACTACAACAAAGTACGTTCACCTGACTGTCTGAGGTCGGACACATCTGGGTTTTACTACTCAAATCAGTGACCTTCAGGCTAGATTCAGCAACAGAACCCTTCATTCATGACGATAAGCTCGTTCTTGTCAAAATGACAATCCTATTATTATTATTTTATTTATGAACTTTTATTTAATGAGGACTAGTTGGTGATTCAAACAGTTAATTCTGGACTCGTGTGGTACCATCTACATTACCTCAAAAACTGCACACTTCATTCTGTTATAATTTTGTACATGTGGTTTTTTAAGGAAAAAACTTACAGGAACCGAACAATTCATAAATATGAAATAAAATAATTAAAGCTTTGTTTTAAATACCAACTGTTCACATTTCCAACATAGTTCACAAAGTTGTTCCTTTAATAATAAAACTTGAGGCACAGCTCCACTGGTTTGACGTGTTAGCTGTTTGACAGTGACGTGTCGTGCAACCATGAAACTTTACCTGAGGAGCACTCTCAGCTTTGTCACTGGGCAGAAGGTTGTGGTTGAATTTAGGACTGTCGAACATGCGTGCAAAAGGTTTGGCAGAGGTGGTGAAGGGCTTGGGGAAGCGGTTGTAGGTAGCAGACGCTGCAGAGCTGGAGGTCATCTTTGGAAGCTGCTCACTCGTCCCATTAACTGGAGTCTTCTCAGGGAAACTCTTGTGAGGCAGGAAGTTGGTCTGGACAGTGCTGTCCCTGGCAGGAGGTTTGGCTGTGGAAGTCACTGAGCTCAGTCACAGACAACAATCACGCATGTTCTTGCACCTCACTCTAAAAGCAACTGATACAATAGTCAATTATACCTTCAGATGGTTTCGGCAGTGTGACTGGTGGCAGAGACGGCGTCACCTGGGGAACTGGTTCATATTTTTTCTCCACTGGACTTGGTTTCTCTACCGGCTCCATCCTGAAAACAAACGATGAGCTTCAGGTAAAAGCTGCGACTGCAAATAAAGAAAAGGTGCAAACAGTCGCTCTTTGTCTTCATTGAGCTTTTGTGTCCCATGTAAAAATAAAGAGGCAAAACTGAGGGTCAGCTGACCAAATCTAGCATGCACGTGTAAAGTGGGGCACGTGCAGCTCTAATGGGCTGTGGCTGACTGGTTGGAGCAGTCGTCCTCCAATGGGAGAGGTGGGGGTTCGACTCCACCAGCAGTCACGCTGAAGTGTCCCTGGGCAACACACTGAACTAGAGCTGCAACGGGTGGGGTCAGGCCGGACCGGGTCGGGCCGGACCGGGTCGGGCCGGACCGGGTCGGGCATTTGATGCGGTTTTGATTGCACATGTGGCCCCGGCCGCCCTTTGCTCTTATCACATCTGAGGATGTAACTGAGCCACAACAAGCGACGTGACGGAGCTGGAAAGTTAAACTAAAGCTAAAAACAGGAGAACTCGCTCTACAAAGCCAGCACAGTGAAACCTGCTGATGTGTGTCAGCATGTGCACGCTCAGGCCCGACCGGACGGTTGAAAGAGGTAAAAAAAGGTGCATTAAGCTTCAGATGGACAACCGGATCATCGGCCGTGTGCGTCCCGCTCCGCACCCTGCTGTCATGGTGAAGGACGCTGCAGCGTCTGAAGCTACAAAAGCCGAAGCGAGCGGCGCGTTCAGTTAAAATAGCCTGGTTCTGTGTTAACAAAGCCTGCGTATGTTAATAGATTATCTTTGGAGTTTATTTTTTTAGGCTATTCGTTTTGCAAATTAATATCCATTTGGTGAAACAAGAAATCTTGTATCTTCCTTTTGTTACGTTTTTAAACTATCATGTCAAACTGATTTGCTTACAAAAGCAGTAAAAGCTTAAAAATAAAAACAGTTTTCTGTTACGAGTTCGGGCCTGTAAGTACAGTTACTGTACTTGCCGTTGTACCAGCTGCTACTTTGTCTCACTTGTCACCCTGTGGTTTATACGCAGGAGCGTCTCATTTATGATTTTTTCCTTCATAATTTAAAAAATTTATATTTTTACATTTTATTTTGAAGGACTTCCTGCCATCTCTCGGTAGCTTCCTGCCACTGACCCCGCCCCTGATGGGGGCAGGTGTTTGTGAGAACGCCCTCAGGTAACCTCATGTAAGATTCTTGCTCACCAACCGTAACTCCACCCACTCCGTCATGTGACCAGAAGTCTAACCTGAATGACCAACGGGGTACTCTCAAGGACCACCCCCAAGATAAACGTGCATTCATTTCTTCAGATCGTTGCTGTGTCATCGTATTTTGGCTTCGTGCACAGACCTGTTCACTTGTCCAGCGATAATAGAAAACGCACGGGGAATTTCTTTGACGCAGCAGCTTTCATGTTAAAAGCGATCGGCTGTCGAGGAGGAAACGGCTGCAGCCCGGAAGTTGCATCAACGTGTCGCTGGTCGGGCACTGGAGACGCAAACGCAGCCAAGTGTGGTACACGTTTTAACCAAAGTTTTAAAACTCGTTTTGTGCGACATCTTTCTGTGTCGGTAAATACGTGTTTAAATACCAGGATCTCATTTTAAAGTCGCATCCGAACACGAAGCGGAGAACAATAGGAGGGAGGGGTCTCCCCCGGCGGAGAAGTCGTCAGATTTATTTTTAAAGCAGTCCGTCAGTCAACACTGCTACATATTTAATAAAAGTTTTAAAAAATCTTTCTGTGTCGGTAAATACGTGTTTAAATACCAGGATCTCATTTAAGCTTAAACAGGGGCATTAACAGAACGGAGGAGCACTACATGAGGGAGGGGCTCTCCCCCCTTCCTACCTTCCTCCTCCTCATCATCATATGAGCTCTGCTGAGGAGAATCACGTCAATTTTATTTAGAAATCACATTTAAAAGCAGCAGTTTTTAACAAAAGTGTTTACCAATAAAAATCAATGGTACTAATTTAATGAATATTTAACGCATTCTACCGACACCATTTGACTTCCGGTCACATGACCTCGACTTCTCATTTATGTACAAAATTATGATTTATCTTATATTTAATACGTGTGGCTTAGAGACTGGTGCGTTCTAAAGTCTGATAATTACGGTAATCAGTCGAGTTGGGCTCAGAAAATATGCCTACGGGCCGGGCCGGATCTTTTAGGCCCAAATGTAACTCTTCACTGAACCCCTCATTGGCTCTGATGTGTGTCCCATCAGTGCATGAATGTGATAAAGCTCTGATTATTCTTTGTACAGATCTAGTATAGAGCTGTATGAACGGGTACATGAGGCACAGATCGCTGTAAAGAGCTTTGAGTGTCTTGATCAGAGAGAAAGGAGCTGTAGAGTAAAAACAGCTGTTTTCATTAACGTAGTAATACAAACGTGGGTGGGACCATCACCTGGGGTAGCTGTGGGTTGTTTGTGCTTGGGGCTTGTTGGGGCCGGCTTGAAGTCTGTCAAAGTAAGACAGCTGTTTCCTGTAGTAATCATCATCCTCATCAGGATCGTAATGGTTGGAGCGAACGATGTCGTCAGCTGCCTTGGACTGTGGCTTCTGAGGCTCTGGAGCTCTAAGTTGATCAACAAGGTGAGACGACCAGATACATTTAAGACAATCATTTGAACAAGGCAAAGAATACAAGTTTGTAAGGCACAGGCCGAGAAACAATATTGAACATTTCTGATTTTTTTTTTGAGGGCGGCATGGTGGCGCAGTTGTTACAGCTGCTGCCTCTCAGCACGCAGGTTCAAATCCCGGTCTGGGGTTTTTCTGTGTGGAGTTTCCATGTTCTCTCCGTGCTGCGCGTGTTTTCTCCAGTTCCCTCCCACAGACCAAAAACATGCAAGTTAGACTGATGGTGACTCTGAATTATCTCTAGGTGAGAGAGAGAGAGAATGTTTGTCTCTATGTGTCCCTGTGATGGACTGGAGACCTGTCCAGGTGTCCCTGTGATGG